ATGTATTTTTTGTTACAGTAAGACCAGCTTTTGTTGCTGCACGTCTAATTTTCCTTGGATTACACCACTAGCTTGTGAACTAGAATTCCCTCCTGACTATAATGTCAGTAAGAAGATATAGTCCCCAATGTAAGATTATAAAAATAGTTTCTGATTATACATTGATAACATTAGGTGTTAAATATGGCTAAATGTTTCAGTTTCAACAATAATTTTTAATTTGTGCAAATAATAAAGAAAGCATAACCATATTTTAATTCTTACTGCTTTTGTGGATGTTGAAGAACAGGTTACAAAAATAAAAGGGAAAAACACCTGAAGAGAAAAACAAACATGAAAATTAATTTGATGTCTTGTGGTCTAAAAAAAAAGAAATCGGGTTTTGAAAAGGGCATTTTGACAGTGACACACCCTCATCCCCATCCCATCCTTCCAGGGCTTTGTTGTTCTGCTTGAGAAATCAGCACACATTCATGCTTTAGCTCCAAATCCAATCATTAGTGAAGTCACATGTGAGCTCAGAAGAACAGGACTCGGTCTTACCCAAGTCTTTTTTAACTTACATGATTCTGTGATTCCATGGTAACATTTAAATGGGACAATTTTACCTGATACAATTTTTAATTTGTATTTTGGGGCATTTTTTTGTCTTTGATATATGTACCCCTAAGTATTTTGTGCTTGATACCTGGAATCTTATATTAAGCATATTTGCAAGAGGCTTGTTATTTTGGGCTACTAATCTTCTTTTCTTTCTTACTTCACCAATATCACATTTTAGTGGTTAGAGACAGCATGGCTAATGCATATCTGTAAAGAGGTACAGCAAGATTTATTTGAGAATCACAGTGAGAGACATCTCTCGGCTCAAAGCTGGTGACTGTTCAGTGAGGCTAAAAATTTGGAGGCAGCCAGATACCGACGTTTGGTTGCATCACTTTTGCATGCAACTGGCTGCTGGCTGCAGAAGTTAGTGAACAATAAGAACATTAAGCTGACAGGTCACAGATGTTATGCTGGACTGCTGTTCCTATGTACTGATAAAAAGATACACTAAAGAAAAATTGCTGTTGAAGCATATTTAATTATACAGTAATTTGTAATACAGGAAAGGTGTCAGTTTTGAACATATATATACAAACTGTAAATGAAGTGATCAGTCATTTTAAGGAGGGACAAGCTGCACTAAATCCAGTTTTAGTTGTATAAAATTTTTAAAAACTTTTCATAATTTAGAATTATTTATACAGACTTTTACTTAAAGATGAACATACAATGGGTACAATTTCTTCCTCATACCAGTTTGAAAATGGACTCACATTTTACATACTTCCTTTCTTATTCAGTGGGAAACCTCCAAAGCTTGTTCATTTGTTACTTGGTTTATTTGTTAATTTATTTGTTAAATTAGCCACTTCATGATTAATTTTGTGTTAGTCCAGCTATCTGAAGCCATAACTCAAGAAGTGCAGAGAAAAGACTTCTTTGTACAAACTCAGTAACACTTTACATACTGAGTCACATTTTCTTTTACAGGAAGTTTTCTCAAAATAAGAAATAGTTTTAAAAAAATTAATAATGACAAATATTGATATTAATCTTCCTAAGGATACCAATAAGAAAGGATTAGGACTGATAGTAATACAGTGGAAGATAAATAATAAAATAACTGGCACTCTAAAAAGCTTCTGTAATCCATAAGTAGCCCAGACAGCATTAGAGAGAATTACATGCTATATCAAGTCTGGTAGAGGTAGTGGTAAAGGCCACTGGCACTGTACATGAGATATTAGTCCATTTTTATAACTATCTAAACTATATTTCTTTATAATATAATGAAGTACCATGAATATATTATTCCCTTTGGTTTATGAATCGGAGATCACTGACTGCAGTATTTTTACCTAAAATGCTACCCTACCATTGCAGTACAGCAGTTGATAGGGGAAAAAATAAAAAACCTCATTAAAAGGATATATATGTGGATTGCGTGCACTTGCACAGAACTTACTACTTTATTTGGAGATCTGCATGCATGCACAGCTGAATGATGTTCCTTGAAGGAGTAGCCAATAAATATTTTCCTTAAACTACATTTTAGCATCTTATACAGATTTATAACTGTAATTTTTTCCTAACAGAGGACTTTCAATACAAAAGTAGTTACACAGAAAAATACTTAAGGCGTGTAAGGCCATAACAGAACTCAGAAGCTGAAGTTTGTCTTATTAAGCCAGTAATATACGCTAAACAGGCACAAAGTGGTTACAAGAAGTTACATGATCAAGACATTTTTAAAGTGTGTCATAGAAATTATTGCCTCAGAAATGTGTAATAAGTTACAATTAAAAAGGGTCAAAATACAGGATAAAATAATGTTTCCATGTCAGCTGAATAAAAATAATTTATTTACAGATCATGAGGAAAAACATAAAAGACCTCTCCTGTTCAAATAAATAAATGTATTAAGGGAACACTTTCACTAACTAAAAAAATAAATTTGTGTGATTAAATGAACAGTTCTTATGTACTAAACAAAACTATAAAAACATTCAAAGGACAATAGTGCAATCATGTCATAAAGCTGATGTTTGCCGTTTCACCTTTTAGGCTGAAGACAGGGTAACCTTTTAAAGTAAAACAACAGAAAAAAATTATGCATTCATTATTTCCACCTATAAATACATGCTTAAATTTCCAGATTTAAATATTTTTCCAAGTTCTTTTGCTTTAACATACATTAACACAGTATTATGTTAACATTCAAAATATGATGGAGCTAACCATCACAGGATTTCTAAAATGAGTTCCAACTGAGCAATAGCTATATCCCCATTTAATAGTGCTTTTTCAGTTCTGTAGACATTGATCATAAATTTACTCCAAGGTAAAACTTTGTTAACAGCTAACAACATTCAACCCTGAATCTTATTTAGAAAACAACACTGTTTCAAATTAAAGTTGCTTTACATGACACAAAAAATTTACAGAACTTAATAAATTGATTCAGGCTACATAATTTGACTAAACAACATAAGATAAGTTTTGGTTATTAAAATAAATGAAAAACAAAAGTACTGAAAACATCAGTGGCCTGCAGAGAGGGAAAAACTGTTGTGAAAGCAAGTCCCCAAACTTATATCATTCAACCAGCCTCTCTACAAACATGGATATTCTCATGGCACCCTCTGTATGATAAAATATTAGATATGAAAGCAATTACTACACATGCACACAGGTTGCTAATTCTGGGATGTGGGTCCCAGAGACACTTTGTAAGAGATACTCCTGATGTCGTGACACTGGTAGAGAGAAGGCCAAGGCACAGCTACAGATACTGCAAATTAAGTCACCAAGATTATAGTCAAATTCTTCTACATAATGGGGAAAACTATTATAAATTTGTACTCATTTGGGAACTGAAGTTGGACATGAAGAGAAATGTTTATCCAGAAAAGGAGGAAAAGCATGAGAACATGTTGCCCAGGATGGTGGTAGTACCTCTGTCCTGGGGCATTTTCACAGGCTGGCTACCTAAACCCACAGATAACAAATCTAGGGCTAGCCAAAGTCCATCTCTGCTCTGGTCCTTGGAAGGTTGGACAAAACCACTTCCAGAAATCCTTCCTGCAAATCACTTTATGTGATTTTCTGTATCCAGCCAAAACACTCTGCTCATGCAGGTTTGTCAAGAATGTTTAATTAAACATTGCAACTCATTCACTGGAGGCCAAGACCACAGAGCTGGTCAAACACAGTAGCTCAGGACACACATAGAACACTGATCCCCAGTCCAGGGCTCTCCAATGAATGAGAGAGATTTTTGGAACACAAGTAACAACTTATAGTCTTGATCTTATCACAAGAAAATGCAGATGCCTACATGTTGAAGGCTCACACTTCACAAACCAAGCACTGTATCATCTTCCTCTCTTCTCCCTACTGCAAACAATTCCCAAATTAATTTTACTTCCATTTCTTTCATATGGACAAAGGGAAGGGTTCACACAAAGAACACAGAAGAGTCCCTCATCAAAGCAGTCAGTTAAATTTGGCTAGTCTCCTCAAAGAACCTAACTGAAGCTGTATTTTTTTAAATAATATCAAAGCAGTCAGTTAAATTTGGCTAGTCTCCTCAAAGAACCTAACTGAAGCTGTAATTTTTTTTAATAATATACGGTTTACAGCAAACAATATGTATGTGATTAGGCATGTTCCTGATACACTTGAGTGTCCTGCATTCTCTGCCACATACTTCAGATAAGTCTCAGAACTACAGTGAGGCATCCTGTACTGCTGTGTGGGAAGATGCTACAATCCTGAAATCTCTTGCATGGAATCAGGTAGCAAGTGAAGATTCTGCTAGTACTTCAAAAAACCCCCACCAAACATGTTTTGTCTTCTAGGGCTGAACTGTTACACAGGGAAATGATTATTATTCTGGCATTAGATTTCTCTCTCTCGGTAAAAAAAATTTCTGATAATTACCCAAGCTGCTGTGATTACAGATTTGAAAGGATGCCTAAAAATAATTCTTTTCCTAGTTGAAACCTTTTTATTATTTGTAAATTATGAACCATCCTGTTTCTCACACCCCCACATTTTATACAAGAGCTAAAACAGTACAGGCCATACAGTGTTGACATAGAGTGGTGATAAAATGCAGCAAACAGCTGCTAGTCACACGGTTTTTCCATCAGTTGATAAAACTATTCAGGTTTGATTTACTGAACTAGGCTTCGGCCTGGAGATGTTTTATTAATGGAAACAGAGGATACAACAGTTTTCTGGCTCTGAAAAGGTCCCATCCTATTTTGATCAAAATCAGTGAAAGAAAAACTGGATTTTGACCACTAACTGTATAAATGCCCATAATTTTTTACTACATTATGGAACTCTTGCAAACTATTTTAAGCAAAATTCAGTGTTTAGAGATGCTGACACCTAAAGCTACCAGCCACTGGTAAGTTTTTCAGAAATTTTCTAAAATCAGTCTCTCATTAAAGTGATTGCTGTTCATTCCAGGGTTCTCGTTTACTGAACAATTTATACAAATGCTTGTGCATGTGCAGCAATTCTTTCACCTGCTGATTTAAAACCTATAAAAAATGCATTAAAATATTTATTAAATCAGACTCCTATGTACTATTACAATCCTTCAATTACTGACTGAATAGAAGATATTTGAAAAAGCAAAGGAAAAATTACAACTTGTATCACTCTGTAGTAACAATAATGCTCTAGCTTAAACAGGCAGATAAGATACTGGACCATAACTTATTTCAGCAATCCTACATATCACAGGTGTTACATTCTCTCTGGAATTCTGAATTGTAATAGTCCAGACAAATGTTTCTTTCACCTCTTAGCTGTGTAGGATCAGTTATAAAGTCTATTTTTCACTTAGTCAAACCCCAAAACTCAAAATTAAATACATTCCAACCAGCCAACTTTTGAGGAACTACAAGAGAACACCATGCACCTGCCACTGTCTTCTCCTAACAAAGACCATTCTGGTTCCCCTAAACTTAGGGATTACTTGGACTTAGGCAACCCTTAATGGTTTGGAGTTTTCTCAAGAAATGTTTAATCAACATTTAATATCCTTAAGGCTGTCAAAAACTAGATATGCAGACATGATCAAAAAGAAATTAAATTAACTGAACCTGTAATTTTTTCTTTACCTGTGAGTGATATTGGATATTACTACATTCTGTATATAAGAAATATGAATGCCATAAAGAAACCTGCAGGTAGAGCCAATAATATATATTACAATATATATTATGCAGTGTATGCAGTGACCACTGTAGCATTGATTCTGAGCTCATTGCAATGAATTATTACTTTTTAAAAGTGAAAAAAGAGTCTATGGGGTGTAGCAATTTCACAAATTTGAATGAGTAGAAAGTAGTCTTGATTTTTAACATTTTGTGTCGCTTCTAAATATGCAAATGTATAAATCCATAATAAAAAGGAAACACTACCGAAATATTTTGGTTTGGTTGTTGGCTTGGGGTTTTTTTAAATATACAAGTTACTTAGTTAAGGAAAATTATCTGTCATTTAAACATTACAACAGTTTTTCGTGAGTGCCGACTTTTTGATAGGTGTCCCAGCCAGACTGGTTACTGATCTTGTATCATCTTGATTATCACTTCGTTTTCGCACCTCACTGTAGTAAAACAAAAATAAAAAATTGCACTCCATTAACACATTTCTATTTATGTTCACTCTTCTATTTTTTCGCACTATATGTTGCAGAGTACATCACCATCTATTTTATGGCTAATTCAATGTAAATTAGCACAGAATCAACATGTCTCACAAGTTTCCAATCTGGTAATCATATGGACTTTTCTATGCAATTCATAGTGAAAAACATATGATTTTTTAAAATGTCTAATAACTCCCCCATGTTCTGATTTCTCTTCAGTTTTCTTTTGAGAAGTTTTTCTTATTTGCTTCTGTATTTTACCATAAAAAGTAAAATGTCTAATAACTCCCCCATGTTCTGATTTCTCTTCAGTTTTCTTTTGAAAACTTCTTGAGAAGTTTTTCTTACTTCCTTCTGTATTTTACCATAAAAAAAGTATGTTCATAGCTCTAAGTACAAAACCAAATAACTTCAGTTTCAAGTACAAATTACTTTCATAGAAAAAATGCATGTTGTTGGATGTTTTTTAGAAATGCACTTAAAAGCTGTGCACATATGATTGATTATGGGTTACAGGCCACTTTATTGGAACCATAACTACTTCTTTCTTACAGGCCTTTCAAAATTATACTTTAACCAAAAATGGTTTGAAAAGGTAGTAGAATTGTAATATTTGGCTCACATACTATCATAGAAATACTAGGGTGCTAAATGTACATAAACAGAATTTCTATCTATCTGTAAATAATTTAGAGAAGGGGACGTCAAAGAAAATATATGCAATTAGAATGGTCAATAATAAAACTGAATACATATTTATATATGTAAAAGAATAAAAAATAATTACACATAGAATTATTAAATTTCAAAATAAATTATGAAAGTGTCAAGAAAACTAATCCATGTACAATTAAAATTACAATTCACTCAGCAAACAGGTCTTAAAACTGCTGTCTCTGTAACTGAGTGCTGGTTTAAATATTAATTATTGAGAAAGTTTTGTAACATTTTCAAGCAAAAATGTTACTTCATTAAACTGAGAATACATCCCATCTTTCATTCATCTATAATGATTTAACAGAGTATTCTTTTCAAATTTTTTTAACATTGGTACAATTTTAAAACTACATGTCTATCTTTCTATGTGCATTCACATACAATGTCCTTTTTATAAAATATACTTGGATGTGTTTAGGTGAAAATAGAAACATAGTTACTTACCGAGCAAGATGAAGAACTGCTTCTACAATATTAGATCCATCTTTAGCACTTGTTTCACAGAACAGTGCATTGTAAGTCTGTGAGTGAAAATAAAATGTTAAGCTAACTGATCCAAGATGGTTCCCATGTGAATGGGTACATTTAATTACATTTAATTGTTTCCTGAATAACACAAAGAATGATACTACATTTAAATGAACAGGATTTCTTCTAGTGCTCTCTCTGTTCAACACATTCTCCTTAGTACTGTGAAATGAAACAGTAATTGCTTTTTAATTATTTCTGGTTTATAATGAGTATATTCTGAATTAATAAACTGAATAAAAGCCATATTATAAGCTTAATGCTCAAACTCAATCTTCTTGTCCACAAGACTGCAAAATAGTAAGAAAGTGGCCAGGACAGGTTACTTAATCTGACTTGCTAGCTACTGTAACTACAGCATCTGGTTATTGTTGGTTAACAAAAAAACCGTATCATTCCATAAGTAACAGACATGATATGCGTCCCAGTATAATCAATCACTTGTGCAAGCACTTAGCCACTCAAGACCCTTAAGACTCCTCCTATTATTCTACAAAATACAAGCTTTGTGCATTGCTTTCACCCATTTAAATACATACAAAAGAAACTTGTTCACATTTCTATTTATAGCAAAGAATTCCTTTTTTCTTTCTCCACATGTGGCAGGAATATAAGAAAGTCTCTTGAAGATGAAAATATCCACACAAAATCTGGACAGACACAAATCCGTCAACAGCGTGCCTCATATTTGAACTGGCAACTTCTATTCAGCAGCAGAAAATCTCAGTCTTCCGTCCATCTACCTTTTTACGAGAAAGACTGACAAGTCTTTCAGAGCCAATAATGAACTTCAGCTCAGCAGACACCGATTTAACCCAGCACTGTGATTTAACCCAGCAAATATTATCAAAACATTATATTTAATGCAAAGTATCCATGAATCCTCATCACTTGACTTGGACAAATGAGCGTAAAATAACCTTTGTTTACTAGTTTATCACATGGTTTTCAGATTAAAATTCCTATGACAAGTTTATTCTAATGAGATACGCTTGGACCTTACCATAGCCAGCTTTTCTCCATAGTTTATAGGCACACACTTTTGCCCTTGTTCTGTGACATCTTGACGGAGATCTGCCTTATTTCCCACCATCATAATTGGAATATTCTCGTGAGTTGCATCCTGTAAGGAGAATTTTATTTCCTTATTGCTAGAACACTCAGAATACAAAGAAATGGCAAACATCATCATATCATGTCAATTTCCTTTCCACAAAGTCTTGCATACTAGTAGGAAAAAACTGACAAATTATGAAAGCTATGCTGAGAACTTTCTATAAACCACTCAAAATGTATGCAGTCATGCAGTCAGCTTAACTATCAGCCTGCAAAGATGCGTTTCCATTCCCATAAGCCTTACTGCATCTGAATGCTGTATGACAAAATTACTAAGGGAAAAGTAACCAACTCCTATACCATGACTAAAAGAAAATGCTTTCACAGAAGATAAGTATTTTGCTTGCCACTTTCCCTCCTATTAAGCAAAAGAGAAAAAAACCCCTTGCACTAAATGCAAATTCATATTCAAATAAAAAAAAACCAGGAAGTACAAGTAGAAAGAAATACTGAAAAATTCCCTTAAACTATAGGTAATTTACAGAATCTAAATATATCAGTTTATAATGCAAAGACTACAAGGACAAGATGCTTTCACAGAAGATAAGTATTTTGCTTGCCACTTTCCCTCCTATTAAGCAAAAGAGAAAAAAACCCCTTGCACTAAATGCAAATTCATATACAAATAAAAAAAACTAGGAAGTACAAGTAGAAAGAAATACTGAAAAATTCCCTTAAACTATAGGTAATTTACAGAATCTAATATATTGGTTTATAATGCAAAGACTCCAAGGACAAAAAGATATCTGAAATGTGCTGCCACATTCATTCTAAAAGGAAGTGAATGGGAAGAGTGTCATTGCACAACATCCTTTAACACAAAAAGATGTATCAGATTGAATCCTATCTGAGTATGTCAGTTAGATACATTTAGGACTTCCATGTAGCTTTCATTTCTGTGACAGCCTCCATTCTGGATAATTGTAATTCACATCCAATATAATTTTATAAATAAAAAAACTAATAATGCAGTGAAAGATAGCTTCTAAGTTCTAACATATGTAAGGGTCTTACCTCAATCATATCCACCCATTCTCTCACATTAATAAAGCTTTTTTCACATGTTACATCGTACAGTAGTAAGACACCATCTGCTCTTCTGAAGTATGATTTAGCAATACTTCGAAACCTTTCAGAAAAAAAAGGACAGTTTTGCATAAGGCCACATTATCAAATAATAGTTCAGTTTAATATCTCTAAGATATTAGGTCTTTTCCAACCTTAATGGTTCTATGATTCTACAATCCACCCACACATAACTCCCTAAATTGATTGCTCCCTTTACTTCCTTTGAAAAAGATAGAAATCCAGTAAATTATTTCATGATCATGATTATGTGAGGACTTCATCATCAATTACAGCCATCTTTGTCATGAACTTTATACAATCTACTCAACCAAGTATAGTAACTAGGTATTTACAATGGATATTAAAATAATCTTCAGAAATTTATTACATGAGAAGAAGATTGATTGGATCCCTACCTACATACAGCCAACACAAATGAACATATTAAACTGACTTCCATAGCAGTAGATTAACTTCTTAATAAGCCCTAAAAGCTGTCAGTAAAGTAATGGCTCTCAAGTAAAGATGTCATAGGATTTTCAGGAAACTTTACAAAATATTTTAAAGAATCATGGATGTAAATTCAGCAATATACACAGATATTTTTGGCAAAATTAGAAAATCTTTGGAAAGAAGTTTTTATATACTAAATACAATGCAAAGCGGGACCATGACTTTCAAGGAAATAACAGGAGATGGGGAGGAGGGGAAGGGAATCTCTGAGAAAAAGCCTGCTTAAAAATACAGGTATATAAGAACAAAGAAAGCTAAAGACTAAAAACAGAAGAAACCATATGCATCTACTCCATCATTTAGTATTGCCAAGGAGGGACATATGGATTTAGTTAATTAATCCTGTGGTGAACCTCAACTATTTCTTCTGATACCTCAAGCATTTTCAAAGTTAACACATAAACATTCCACCTGTCTTGAGGTCTCAGCAGAGAAAAATTGCATCTGTTTACAGATACTTACATATCGACCATACAATTAATGGTTTTCTTTTCAGCTAGATCAAAAAAGGCAAATTACTTTTACAAACAAAAGAATTCAAATAAAGTAAGTGCAGAGGATCACTAACCTCTCCTGCCCAGCCGTGTCCCACAGCTGTAACACTGTAGGTTCTCCATCAACAATTAGTCTTTTCATTTGAAAATCCACACCTGAAAAGAATCATATATGTTGTCTAAAATAACCCATCAATAATCTTAAAGAAACCACAAAAAATTAAAAGGTAGGGGCTATATACAACAGTTTATCCAAAACTCATCTTTTTAAATAGGTTATGAGATTTCAGTCAGTCATGCACATACTTCTGAACTGCAATAACCCCCGAATGTATTTGCCTTTTCACAGAAGAACGGATACAAATTGCACTCTGAAAAACAAGCAAGATCTCTTGCTGCTTTATTTCACTAAACAGTTTTATCAAAGAAGTGAAAATGTTGTATAAAAAATTTGATTTCAAATACCAAGGAAGAAAAAGATAAATTAGAACAAAAATCCTGACAAGAGGCAACAAAACAAACATATAAGTATGATTTAATTAGAAGACAAAATTCACTCTTTGGAATCCTTAAGTTTGTTAGCTGACAAGTATGCTAATATACAGAAGAAAACAGTCAGAAATCCTTCTAGCTGTATTTAAACCAAAGCTTAAATAACACTTTGAAGAAATTGCAACAAAAATATAGTAGGAAAGACGTCAAAGGATAGCATGAAATACTAAGGAAAGAGAAAAGTGTTGAGAAAACAAGAAAGCAATGAAAAATGCAGAAAAGCTCATACACACACTGAAAGTTCCTTACACTGACATTCCTCCTCTGGTGCTTTGTGCTGTTCAGAAAGAGGCTTCATAAAGAAGAACTAAATTAGACCAGTATCCTACTTTCCACTAGAAACTATTATTACTAAGCTTTAGTACTCAATTAAGTCTCACAGCCTCCATGAGAAACTGTGTGTGTACATCCCAAGCAAGCAATCACAAAGGCAAGCTTTTCATCCTCTTTGCTGCAAAACAACAATGAAATTCATTTCAGTATTTTAAGAAGAACACCAACTATACCCAGAGTTGCACTGGTATTGCCTTGAAATTCATTCTTGCAAAGTCTCATAAGAAAACTGGATTTTCCCACTGCTGCATCTCCAGCAAGAACAATCTTGTAAGCCTTCTCTGTACTGGGGTATTTTGGAGTGCATTCAGTTGCATCTGACTGAAAATAAAAAGAACCCCTCTGTAAAAACTCATAAAAAACCCCACCCCTCTGCATCATTCTTTTCCATTTTTCCCCTGAAGACCTGGTTACCTGAGGGGTGAGAGCAGATATGTGTTTCCTTGTTGAAGCAACTGAGCTGCTTCGACTAACTGGTCGTGAGGGCTTCCAGTCTAAAACTGCAGAGCTGTTAGCAGGACTGTATGCTTCTTCATCTCTGATCTCTGGAACCTGAAAGTATGCGTTAGTTCTCCGGTGAGAAAAGCATGTTTTTCTGGAAAGGCACAGCTAAGACTGATTAAAATGTTTTAACACTTTGGATTAAACAGAGATAAATTACCAGATACAGCTGTTCAATTCTAATCAAAATACTTTGATAATTCTGTTCTCTTTTATTTCTGCTGTTTAGTATAATCTACATTTTGTCTTTTAACATTTCTATTGTTTGGCATCCATTCTTTCAGTACTCTAACAGAGCAAACTAATTTCTATATGAAAATTTCTGTTTATAACATAGTCACAATAAACAATTGGGACAATACTTTATTTCAAAGCTTATTTTGCAAACTTTAAGAATTTCCCCAAAGACATTACTCTCCATGCTATTACTACTCAAGCTAAATTAAGTAGAGTATAGCCATAATCAACATTATTCACAGCAAAGTCTCCACAGAGATTAATGTCTACAAAACACACAGCAAAGAGTTTACCTTAAAAAAACCCTATAGTATACTGTGCTCGACATAATTTTTACTATGTAGTCCTCAGAAACTCTGTCAATGTTACTGACAATAAAACAGACACAGGAACACCTTCTTAGATATTTTTTTAATTCTCCAAGACTTTAGCCTGTAAGCCAATGTGTGAAATAACAGTATTTTATCTCATATGTGCTTTTTTCTCCACTGCTACAGCACAGTAAGATGAAGTGAATAGAAACCTATTTTATTTCTTGCTGCTTTTTTATCACTAGAAAATGAGCTCCTTTCTGCATACAGTTTAACAACCTTCAAAAATCACACAAACTTCAAAAATTACGTTATTACCTCAAAAACATACAAAAAACGTAAATTCAAAAAGAGAACTTCTTATACATTCTAAAAAAAATGTTCACTAATTAATTTAAATATGCATGCCCCAAATATTTACTTTTAACTGGCCTGTGGGCAAAGATCCATTTTATTTTAAAAACAGGAAGCTAATTTTATCTCCAATCAAAGACTTCTCTCAGAGAAGAAGTAAATCTGGCACTTACATCTGTATCAGAAGCATCACCGCCAAAGCCTTCTTGCATACATTGTGACCTTTGAAAAATCCTTTGATGTCTATATTCCACTTCTGAATCATACTCATTTGAATCTCTCAGGGTAGACAAACCACTGTCAAAACAGCTCTCAGGTAAGCTGTCAACTTCACAGTTTATCCTTTGCATTGGATCACAAAGGGCTAAAGAATCATAATCTTCATCGAGGCAAGACGAATGAGATGACCTAATAAGAAAATATTGGAGGGGGAAAAATAAATTATTCCACACAATAAATCCCAATAATAAATAATTGCTTTTCCCAACAAAATCTGAGCCTTTCTGGAACAGCCAATTCTTAAAAATGCTAATGTTAAGTTTAAGACATATGTCAATCCCTATCTTGCCTTTATAAAGAATTCCTTTCTCAATCATATGTCTTGGGATGCTCAGATCAAACTATTTAATATGTGTTACTGATGATGACTTTCCAAGTCTCAGTAATTATGACTACCTGTTAATTTTAGAAAGCCTATCTAAAAAAACATTCAGAAAGCGATGTACTATGAAGACATGAGAAAAAGAAAAATATGATGTTTTAGCGAATTTTAGCCAAACATTCAGAAAGCGATGTACTATGAAGACATGAGAAAAAGAAAAATACATATGATGTTTTAGCGAATTTTAGCCATCTCTAAGACAAAAAACAACCTTGACATACTGTATCTCATTTAAATTAATGCATTTGTTCACAGAGGCATGCAGTAAGAAACAGCAATAAATATAGAAGATGGAGTAACCAAGTTCAGGAGATCAGTAATGGTGGAAGAAGTCACTGAATTATTTTCTTACAGTTTGACAAACCATGCAAAACCTAAACTTTTACATAGAATTCTTCTCTTTTCCCTAAACCTTCCTTTAAAAGTATTTTTTTCATTTTGGATACTGTAATATATAAAAATATTTTAAGAAATGCTGCAATGACAGTATGGGTTACAGAAAAAAAAAAAAAAGGTTTTATTTATGCAAATAAAACCACAGAAAAAGGAAGGTTAATAGAATGAATCCTAAAAAAAATAGTCTTATAAAAAAGGTTACAGTGGCTACAATCATTATCATGCCTCTTCAGCAAGACAGGGACAGGCATCAACAAAAGTGAGGCAGTAATGGTCTCCAAGTCATAGCACAGAAGAGAGGGTCTGGCTTAGCCCTGTTGGGATTGGATGTGATGCACTGACCTGCTAAACCACACAAGGTCAGCATCAATCCTTGTAATAACAGCTTGCTCCCAGAGGGGCTCCCCTGTGATGGCACAACACAGGAGAGCACACTGGGGAAAATCACCAAATTATCAAGCTGTTACTGAATCGAATTCTTCCCTGCACCTGGCCAAATGGGGGTGATAGTGGCATCACTGTCCTGTGCAGTAACATTCAGAACCATACAATTGACACTCCTTCAGGATAATGAATAATCACATGAATGCATGTGATCTTTGCTGTAAGATATCAAAGCATACATGGTCTTTGTATTTATGCACACCTACTAGCCTATATCAAATCACTGAATTACTGAGAAAGAGTGCGTGCTATAACAAAGTTAAGCTCTCCAGGCATTCTCTGAAATAAAGCTCTTAAGTAGGCAATTCCCAACTGCACTGAACTATGAATTCAATGCTGGGAATTTCATATATGCTTAAAGCAAGTTAGACCAAGATGAAGCTTGGTCTAACTTGCTTTAAGCATAGAAAATGTATGAAAAAAATCATACATTTTAGAACAGATTGCTTAAAACATGTTAGAATACAAACCAATACCTCTTAATGCTGATCTGATGTCAGGAGACAAGGTACTGAAAACAAACAGGTTTTGGGACATTCACATCTCTTTTTGTCTTTTGATACTATCAAGTCAAACATGTTAAGACTAAGCTTTATTCCTACCACATAAACTTTCTTCTAAAGTGGCTTGTATTTCTCACTTTTGTGGAAATACAAGGATTGCACCATGTGGCATGTACTAATAAATATTCATAAAGAAGAACTAAGCTTCCAGAGAGGTTTTATTTACTCTCTCAGAAAATTACTGAATGTAATATGCAACTTAGAGTGGATGCCTCTAAAAATTTGCAGAGGGTCCAGTATTAGGGAATTGGTTTATATCCACTCAGAAACAGGAAAATGATTTCAACAACTAAAACTTTACAGCCAGCAAACACATCTCACATGGAGACAACAGAATAAGGACACTACTGAATGAATGGGGATATTACAAGTTTGAAGTGAAGTCTGTCTATTTTCTATCCAAGATATTTTTCTTTCTGGCAAACTACTAAGAACTCTATTAGAGATCTCTCTATGGTTTGGAATACCACTGAAAGAAAAAAAATACAAAATAATGTATCAATTGAATACGGACACACATTTTTGCTGATGGATCTGTTTAAAAAAACAAGTGTGAAAGCATAACATGACTGACAGCACTCAGGGTTGCCTCCAGTACCCACTGTCTTCAGTGAGTCTCTGAAATGATGAGGAAGTTCTGATCAATGATCTGTACCTATTAAGTACAAAAATAAATACCTCTGACAATCTAATTGCATCTAGATAACTTACTGTTTTTGTACTCTTATCTCATTAATATCCAAGTGCATCCACTACTCTTGCATGTCAGTGTGAGATGAGGTGATTTGAAGATCAGGCCCACATTTGTACTAATTATTATATGGGAAAAAAGGCACACAAGCTGAACATAAAACCAAAAATGTTTTATTTCACAAGTACTGAGAAAGGCTAACAAATGTCCTCAGAAGAGTTTTATAGTTTCTTGAAGACAAAAAGACTGAGACTCAAACTAGAATCAAAAAGGGCCAAGACCAGACAAGAGGCTGTCTGACCACTTCATAAGTTTATGGCTTCTACTGAAGAGGGGTATCCTGAGCTTTCTGAAGTAATTGAGAATATTCCAATTAACTTTAGTATATTTTGGATCATATGCTTGGATCATTACTTCTATATCAGACAGAACTACTGTCTGTTACTTAACACTAATTTGGTCTTCTAAGACAAGACATTCTCAAATTAACAAAAGCAAGCCTGGCTTACCTGTCATATCGTGGGTTTAAAGGAGAATGTTCACCATTAAATTTAGGACTGCTTCTAGAAATGGTACTTCCTGGTGAGGTATTTGCTAACCGCTGAAACAGATACATATTAAATGCATTATAACTTTGATGAACACAGAGGATTATATCTAGATTTGTTGGGAAAAAAGTGTGCATCATCACAATTACAGATTGGAAGTATTTAATATATGTTTCTTTATATTTTATATATATATATATATATATTTAGCTACTTACAATTAGTTAAACCTCATACTTCATATATGATTGAGGGTCAGAAGGCTTATTACCTATAGCATTTAGGTTTCACCACTGCCCTTATACTGAACACACTAGACATATTCAACCACAAAAGAACAGAATTTCCAAGAGGTTGATTTCATTGATTACCTCAAGACTCTGAAATGCTAAGCCTTGAAAAGTGATATTTAGACCATGGCATGCTGACTACTGAAAAAAAGGGGAACTGTCACTAGCTGAGCTAGTTTCAGGAGAGCTACCTCCTGGCTCTTGAGAGAGATAGTGAAGGAAAGGTCTCAACTAATAGCATGTGACAAAAGTATTAGCATGTGCCTCCATACATTTATTCACTGGAAACAGCTTCTTCTGTCTTCTACGTAATAGCTCATTTATATTTCCAGGCATGACAGTAGGAAATGGTATCCATTGCTGCATGTGTAGCTAATCTCTGGTAGCTCATATCAACAAAAAGCACTCATGTTCACTGGTATGGAATACTGCAAACAGGCAGTGCCCTGAACCCTATTTTCCTCTTTCCTGTCCAGTATTGTCTTTATGGGCCCATCCTTCTAAAAAAGCTATCAGCTTTTCTCATGATGCCCAGTCATTAGTTTTTAGAGTTTTAACAAGTTTCACAGGATTGCAAAATGACAGTGTAGAGGAGGCTTTTTTCTTACTTTCAAGCCTTCCTTTCTCTAGTTTGGAGGATGTCAGGTGACATTTGCTACAAGAGACTCTAATGCAGTTCTGTGAGCCCCAAAGGGTCTGACTAAGGTCTCTATCAGTAGTCCATGCTATTCATTTTCCCAGTGACTTGCCTGGACAAAAGTTTGAGTTAGGTTAAGACCTTGCTATTAAAAAAGGGCAGTTTTCTGAGAAAGTGTGTTGTCAATGGTAGGACACTCCCTTACACAACACAAATACATTCCCTTTAGTGCAAGAGAAACTGCTGATTTATTCACCTCATTAAATATCACAGATTATTAAAAAAACAGTCATCTTTCAAAGCACCTGGAAAGCAGCTATGCTCTAACAAAACTTCCATTATTTAAGAAAATGTAAGTAAAATCTAACAAAACTACACAGGAGTATTCATTGAAAATACCTCCATTTTCTCAGTACCCACTGAGGTACCAGTTTAAATGCACTGCGTTGACTCTTTACACCTTCTATGACAATGTAACAAAAGCATCAATACATACCAATGATCTGTTGTACTTGCTGAAACTGTTTTCAAGTGCACTTCTTAAACCATCGTTGCTATCATGTAATTTTCTATTAGCAGATCTAACAAGGAAACACAGTTTAATTTGCAGAACTCAAGAAAACATAAAAAACTATGTAACTCCTCAAAAAGAAAAAAAAATTCAAAATACTTCTAAAAAACCCCTTTTTCCTTTAGCTAAACACTAAAGAGTAACATGAAACTAGCAACACATTGACAGGTATTCAAACAAATTATCAGAAACAATCACTGTGAATTTCAGGCTTCAGTGGCAGCCCAGGAAGTCCATTTTCACTTGTACAGTATGGTCTCTGGTCAGCTGAGTGGAAAAAAGGTACTGTAGGAATGGTGACCAAAAAAAAACCACAACACATGCAATGAAACAACTAGTCCAGCCATTTTTGTACAAAATTACTACCCTTTAAATATTGCTGAGGTGATTCTGAAGACAAATATAATTAATCTGCTTAAAATAAAGAATTTGTTTAGGATAAGGATAAATAAAGATATAAAAAAATGTATTCATTGTGACCCTTCTTGTGCACCTATAATATAATACTGCACACTCTTAGTACTTTCCAGACAACAAGACAGGGAGTTACTGGAGAAGCAAAGCCAATAGAAAAAGAAGCGAGGCAATAATTTTTATGATAGCATGGATAGACTCAAATCACATTCAGCTTATTAGAAAGAAATGAAAGCTAATGGACTAAGAAAAGAAATGGAAAGAAACCAACTGAAGTGTTAGTGGGTGAGTACCACAGTAGAGTTAATACCACAGTAACATTTATGACAGTTGAGAATAAACCTTTTACAATAATTTAGGTCATTCCAGTATTTTCACTTGGAACTACTTCCCAAATTTCAACCCAATCTTTTGCATACAAAAACAGTTATCCCAAATATGGTGGAACTAAGGTTAATAATGAAAAACTGAATTTCTAAAAACTTACTGAAGTATTTCAATTTGTCTTTCCAGATTATCTCTGTCTTCAGTATACTCTCGGATAATTTCTAGATCCCTGGAAAAAAAAGCCAAAAAATAAACACCAAACTTAAATAAACATATACTTAACAGGATATTCTCACATTTTCACCGTATTGCCTTTGGCAGAGTTTACATTTATGCTGAAATATGCTCAGAGCAGTTTTATGCAAAGTAAGATCATTTGGTGACTTCATTAATCTCTGCCATTACAACTCAACAAAGACTGTGAATGGAAAATGAAAATCATACAAAATAACCATAGGCACTGTCTCCTTTTCCTTTCAAATATAATTTGTATTATCTGATGATAATCACACAATGAAACTGCCCTTTATGCTCCTTTAAAAGAGTAACTAGTAGTAGCTTTCATTCACTTTAGAAAAACAAATGGTTAATATAGATGTGGAAGGCTTCCAAAATTATTCTCCCCTAAAATTCATACAGATCCTCATGTGAGTACAAGCCATGAAGAAAAAAAATTCCTGATGTTGCAGTGCTGTTTCATTCCTAATTAAGTCCCACTAATATCAATGGATAAAACAAGCCATGAAGAAAAAAAATTCCTGATGTTGCACTGCTGTTTCATTCCTAAGTCCCACTAATATCAATGGATAATGTTACAAGATTGTGAGAGTTTTCATCATAGCCAGAATTTGCTCCTTCAGAAACCTAACAAGAAAAGTGAACAGCATTGATGACATGGTATCAAACATGTACTACCCTTTAAGGCAAATTTAGAAAATAACAGTTGCCAACTGCATGAATAATAATTACATCAGAAAATAGATGTTGTTTTTTCCCTTGTGAAAATATTATCATGTAGAACTTACCTCTCAGTGTTCAAAGACTGATCTGCATACTCGCTTTTCAAGGTATCTAATTCACTCTGTAGAAAAGCTATATTTGTCTGTGCTTCTAAGAGATCTTTCTTAAGTCTCTGATTTTCCTTCAAAAAAGGAAGATATTAGATGTTAGCTGTCACAGTCACCTCCACAAAATGTTGATAAATTATTATAATAATAGAATAAAAACCATCAAGGTTAAATAAAAATTAAACACTATAAAATTTGGCAGAGGGAGGGAAAGAAAATGAAAGAAGGATAAATCAACAGAGAAGTCAGTAAATTAATATGCAAGAACCTCTTAACTATTCTTTTTCTATTCAATTACAAAAAAATGGTACCACATCATCTCAAGCCAATTCTAAATGTCCTATGTAGAATGTGCATATATTTAAACAGGTTCTTTTTCTACTTAAAAGATCCACATACACTTACCCATGATTTCTAAGGTTTAATTTCTAGCTTACCATTAATACATGTAAAAAAAAAAAGAAACCAACAAAAATCACAACCCAAATCTCCACAAGTATAACCATCTGTATTGCAGGGACTAAAACTGAGGCTAAATTAATAGTAGTAGTAGTACTACTACTACTACTACTAATAATAATAATAATAATATTCTCTTACCAGCAACATATCATGTATTCTTTTCTTCAGTTCAACTACATCTTCCCGGTGATTGACATACTTGGATTGCTCCTCCAGCTTGCAGTATTAAAAAAAATGCACAATTAATGTATTTAATTGTTCTGATTTTTAAAAAAGCCTTATGGAAATCACAATAAATAATCCTTAGGAGGTTTTATAGTTACTGAAGTTTTTAAAACTTAAAAGTTGTTCCAAATGTACTAGCAGACGGCATTATTTCAAAAATCACTGGCTTTCTAGAAAATTGATATGCGTTTTGCACTCTTTAGGTATAAAATATTCATAACTAGTGACACAGAAGACAGTTGTTAAGACTGAAACAGAGAGAACAACTTAAAAAAATTATAAAAAATTATTACTATCTCAGCTATGTAGTTTCTTGGACAAGAAGCTCTCATGTTTCTTCTAAGAAATTTCATTTCTACAAATGTTCTTCTAAGTGAAATTAAGTACAAAACCCAAAAAACATATCCATTTTGCTTGCTATAATTCTGGTAAAACTTACAGGAAAAACCAAGGTCAAAATTAAACCCAAATTACAAAATATGCCAAAACTGCCAATTCCTACCTGAGATTTCATTTTATGTTATTACTAAGTATCAAATTACAAGATCAGATTGCAGTTGAGTTCTAAAAGGCACTATACATAAAGTCGGATACTAAAAGGCACTATATGTAAATTACTATGTCTAGGTTGCCAATTCCATCTTTATTTATAAATTACAAATACTTAGTGGAAATATACTGGACTATTTGTAATGGACCAAATATAAGATTAGGTAACTGCAATGTTATAACTTGATGGACCTAGAAAATTGTTAAGCTAAAGAATTTAGGTAATAGTTGCTGCTCTCTTTCCTAAGTATTTCAAAAAATTACACAGCATGAATACAAAAGCACAAAATGACAACACAACCTAAAAATTATCTTCAGTTGTCATTTACTAATACAATTTAAATTAGAAACCTACAATTGTGATTATCCATCTTGAGGGAGACATTTCATAGGGTCAAAATCTCTTAAAACACTTTAAAAAACTCAACAGACTTCAACTCACTAACCTTTTTAAGTTTTTTTATTGTCACCTGAAGATCCCCAACTTCAGTGTCATACTGGCGCTTCAGTTCATTTAGTGCTTCTTCAGCTTTCTGCTTCTCCTGCAATATTTTCAATCTCATTAAAAGTTGAGACAGTTTTCAAATGTTTATCAAAAAATTCATTCATCAGTTTGGAAAGCACATACTTTTTGCTTAGACAAATGTGTTTTTCATTTTGTCCGTTCCTTAAGATCCATAGGTTCTGATTCTGTAATTGCAGTCCACTTCTAAAACACTCATAGAAATAAAATGGTGGCATAAAAGCAAATATTTGGGTCCATTCAGTGTTTTTCACTCATGGTTCCTGTGCTTAATGTTCTCAATGTCACTTACTTCTTTACTTCTGTTTTTAATTTTTTTGCTTGCAACTGTTAGAACATTACAGGCCCATGTCAGTAAAAGGCAAGCAGACAACAGCAGTTCTAGTTTTAGATAAATGGTACCATCCCAGGAACAGAGACAAGGGGGTGGTTTCACTGCTGTCTATTCAATACCACCCACATCACCAGGATGGTCTCAGCAGATGGAAATGGAAGCAGTGCCATCTTTTACAAGGGCACATGGCAGGGTGTGCATCTGTGTTTAGAGATTGCACCAAGTACTGCCCATGGGGATGTTCAGTGATGAATGCCCTTTTGTGGGTAAAATACTCTCTTTCCCTTGTATACCCTACATTATCAATATTGTTGTGATTATTGCAGCCTTCCAGTAAACTGTAATTCTAGTTTATTATTTCTCCCAGTTTCTTCTATTACTAGAAGGAGCAGAGTGGGTAAAAGGTGACAACAGGAGTGGGTTTAATTTTCTCAGTGTGTTTGAAACCAGCACCAAGTGCTCTGTCTAAATACCAATACCTGTATATAGTACTCAGTCTGAGTATCAAACCAATTTGTGCATCAATGTGTGGTGTGCTACTGACTGGTGTGTTTCACTCACTCCAGTCACTCCCCAAGTACTCCAGTTTCACAACACAAGAAGTCAGAATGCAGCAGCAAGAAGTGGAGCCAATGACAGAGGTTGAATTTTCACATGGAAGAGGTAGGCATAGATTTTGCTTAGAATTCAGAATTAGAATTTCCCATAGATGATGCTGGCATTCATGTGTTAAAACAATAATCCAAGTAATCAATTTAAGTTGGATTCCCCTACTGTGGCCAACTACATAGACTCATAAGTATTGTTGGGTAACTATTTGCTTCCCTTGAAGAAACAAAATACAGGATAGGCTCATGCAGAAGCAGGTGTCCCGGTGGCATGAGTGAGATCACTCTGACAAACAATAGCCTTGATTACAGACATTAAGATTAATGGCTTAGTACATTCCCACAAAGTAAATAACTTAGCATTTACTCTCAGGGTGTTCTAGTAGGTGCGGTATGTGGAGCTAGGAGCTACAAGGAACACTGGAGAGTGAAAATGAAAAAAACCTTGTGAGAAAAAAGTTAACCAAGTTAAAGACCATCTTTCACACCTCTGGCTAGATGCAAGAAGTGATTGAGAATACAGACTAAATGTAGATAATGCATAGAAGATCGACTTCTGCATAATGCTAGTATATAACTGTAGATGTTCTCAGAGTAAGCAAACATACACAACCCAGTCATCTTTTCAAAGCACTGAAAAAGGGTATTCAGTGCTTTTTTTCAGTGATTTATCACTTTTTGAGAACAGTAATTTTCCAGAGAAAATGTATTTGTTTTCTCAACATTAACAACTTAGCTTCTTTGGAAGTGAAACTTTATCTCTACTAAGAGCTGCATTACCACTAGTTAAACATAATAAACCACACTCGTTTTTGTTTTTTTTTTTTTGCAGGTGTGATATCTTTAAGACTTTTATGCCATTATATTTCATTTCTAGGAACACAACAATAGGCTTTTATGGTGTGGTAGGACTATTTTCTCCTCTATAGGAAAACAAGCTGTTGTAAATCTATCAGAATACCATTTACCTTCACATATCAATTAGTGTGAGCTACTTAAAATCAGCAAGTTGACAGACAGTACTTTGTTACTTCTGGTTCTGCAAGTACTCTGGTGAAAGAACCCATAGCAAATATATATAGATGTTCAGTATACCACGTGTCTGACCAAGCAATAATTATGCCCATAGTATATGTTTTAATTAATGCATTCTTATGCCTTCAGTAGAACACTTTCACAAACTGTTATGCCCATATAAAGTTTGGCTTATCTTAAATTAATGTAGTAACGATTCAAAATGAACCAGGGAGCTGGTCTTACTCCTTTGAATTAAGCAGCCACAAGTGACTCTAACATACCTGTCCTGGGTAAGAGAAGAGGATTTGTACTTCTTGTCATATAAACTGCAAGTGGGTTGAAACAACAGCTAAAACTGAGCAGATCAAAGTAGAGTTTCCCATTAAGTTTGAGGGGCCCAGGCCCTCACACATTGCTAACACAGTTATCCTCTCTTAAGTCTCTAAAATGTGGTTGCAGGAGAAAGGAGGAAAGAAAGAGCATTACTCCGGGCAGATACACAAAGCAGGACCAAATAATCAAAGCATTAAATTATACATAAATTATTGTACTAGGAGAGCTAGATTGCATTCTTTAGTGCTGAAATATAATTTTCTGCAGTCTGTTTCCAATATTGGTCTCAGAAAGAAACTCTTATTGGCCAGTATGTTTCCACAAAAGGGAAAGACTTCTTTTTCTTGGTTCATTACACCTAAGCAGATATTCCTCTTTGGGAAAGCATTAAGATCATTCTTCTTTTTTTTTTTTTTTTTTAATGTATAGAATTTTTTCATCCAGGCTCTGCCTATAGCAGCTTTGAGTCAGTCCATCAGGTTCAAAACCACAAGTGGCCATCAATCCTGCTTAAGATCACTACGAGTTCAGTAATTATGAAATACTGTAAATATAAAATACTCACTTCCTTTTTAACTTTATGCTCTGCAGCCTGTATCCGTAGTTCCATCTCTTCCTCTAACTCACTGAGTTGAACTGCTGCTTTGTCCTGAGCTCTAAAATTTAGAAGAAAATATTCTCTTAGGAATTGCCCTCCAGCTTGAAAGAAACACTGTGTGAAACACATCTGCCTACCTCAACTGAAACTGAAAATTAGACAGAAAGACAGGTAAAACAGTTTAACATTGCCCAGACCGTGAAACTGGTGTGGCTAAGAACCTAAATCCCAAATCATTTGAAGATACTGGCAAATTGGATTTTAAATAATAGCTGCAAGCTGATGATTAACATTAAATACATCTGCATTTTTAAAATTAATTTACAAAGATGAAAGGTACCCCTTGTTATCCTACGAAGAGACTTCAAAAGCAACTTGCATCACCCACACATACAAGATCTCTGTTCTGAGCTGATCTGTTTGGTTTTGGCAGTTATGATGTGAGACTGACAGTGCCAAGCAGTTAAAACAGGTAAATACAGTTCTTGAAGCTCATGAAACAAAAATATGATTTCTAAAATGATAGTGGACATGTATGATAAAACTCAAAGTTGCAGACAAGAAGAGTCAAAATGTTTTAAGACATTTAACTAACAAGAGTCTGCAAAAATTTGGTCCAGAATTTATTGGAAGTATGAATAGGCATTCATTTGCAGGCTGCTATATGTGTTTATGCACAAGGGTATGCACACTAACTTCAGAACTCAGTTTATGGAAATACTTTGCATGACATATTTTGGCATTAACTCTCAGTAGTTTAATCAAAAAAAGCATGAGAAGAGAAATTTAAAAAACTGCATAACTGAACTAGAAACACAATTCACTATACCTTTTTACCGCTATGGCAAGAGTTTCCATCTCTGTGCTTTGAAGTTTGATCTCTTGGATGAAGTTCTTAATGACATGCTCATATGGCTGGATTAATCTTGGTTCTGCTATGTGTATGTTCTGATACAGAACACTGACCTGCTCCTGTCTGAAAAAGAGAGACATGCACATTTTAATGCACTTACTTGGAACAATGTTCTATTATAGGTTTGAAAAACTTACTACAAATTAAGATATTCCCCTCTTTGCCTATTTTTAAAATTTAGCAAACTAGATACAAGCTTTCAACACTCAGTACAGTATGACTAAATTCTTTAAATTACGTTTACCATTTCCACTTCTCTGCTTTAATATAGGTACTGGGGAAAAAAAAAAAGGCAACCCAAACTGCCTAATGAAGTAATTTTTTTACTTCTGTTCATAGCATAGTGAAGAGAATGCAACTGGTGCAACCCACAATGTATATCAAGTCTCTTGATTGCTCTAATGTTAATCATAATCCATGAAGAAACCTAAGATTTCAGGAGGTTGCATAAGAACTTAAAACAGGCATGAATGATAACTACCTAAGTTAACAGGGGAAGGATATAGAGGGAGGTGGACTGTAGGCAAAATAAGAATACAGCTCCTCAGTTTCACACAAATTATTCTGGTCTATATATAAATAAATTTGTTATTATAGGAAGTTAATTCTGTATATGACTCTCATGTAAAAAATGTCAAATATATCTTATAAAGAAGAAAGCGAACATTTCTGTAGGTATTTTAGTTGTTAAAAGCTCTCCTGAAAGTCATAGTGAAATGTTGCCTCAATGCAGGAATAGTATATTCAGATTTCTATTTTAATCTGGACAAATTTACATAGATTGCATACTGTTCTAATTGTCAGAGGAAAGAAGTTTTACAAGATTAAACAAAAAACCCAGTGTAAGAGCCAAACCACTATTACAAAGTCTACTACATAAATAGCACTGATTTCTGTTCATGCTACTGGTATGTCATGCAAACCTTTGTCTTACATGCTAGGTTCCAACTCCTGGATTACATCAGACAACATAGCAGGAAATACTCTGTAACAGAATTTAGCTGTTCTAAGGAAAACTGAATGTGATTGACACAGACTATATGCTAGAACATGAGCACGTACCCAACAACTTAAAAACCAAAAGGTAAAAAGGAACAGAGAAGATGAACTCTAGAGAGGTGGAGAAAACAGGCCAGTAATGAGGAAATACACATTATCAGAAGCAGAAATACAACCAGAAGCAATTTTTTGCAAGTTCAAGTCAAATACCACATCTAACATCACAAATACATGCCCCCTCTTTTTGTTCCTAATGAAAGCTTGAACTCTGATTAAACAATCCTCCTTGTTAGACAGGTAGAATTTTCCTATCTTCAGTGGAGGTAGTGGTACTTAATACATTCACCATACACAATATCAACAACTGTGCAATTCAACAAGTGTATATTCTCTTAATTTTTTCTCACTTGAAGCAATTCCACAGCTTTGATTATCAATGCTGCAGCACTCTGCTCCTTGTATGTGATTTCTCCACTGGAAGTCTAACTTAGTTTATTAAAACAGTACTACAACTCTTAGTATAGCTCAAATTCCCTTTTAAACAATTTAACAACTTCAGGACACTGTAAAACGTGTTTCCAGCTGAAGTGTTGACATTCATTTTGAGATAGAGAAACATAAAACCAGCACAGAGAGATATTTACTGATGCCTGATAAATTTCTGTGGTTTTGTCTTGCAAAGGATTTCCTTTACAAAACTAATCCTGTATTTACCTGTATTTAGTAAGTTAAATATCTTCCAATGTATGCACATAATTTCTTTTTCAAAATGTATTCTAAAGAGAGTAGTGTTGAAGTTCACCAACAGTAGCAATAATGAACAGATTTATCTGATCATCAGATGTTGCAAACTCTGTATAAATAATGCAACATTAAAGAACTCCTCAAAGGTATATTATTCAATTAATGGCTTGCATTTAAAAAACTATTAAGGACATTTCCAGAATCCACCTGGAGGCCTGTAGTCAGTGGCATTTTCTGGGATCAATACTGGAACCAGTCTTGTTCAACTTGTTTATCAATGACCTAGATGAAGGAAAAGAGCATCAGCAAGTTCACTGATGCTCTTTAGAATTGGTTTTCCTTGAAATCCTAAATTAATTTTCAGTGTATGAGCTGCACACCTATAAGTTCCACACTAACACAGTTGTGTTAGTGTGGAACCTAAAGGTATTCACAAATACTAACGCGTAGAAGAGCATTTTTTTAATATATGGCATAAAAGCTTGTCACTTTGTTCATCTGGCACTATGGTTATACTACTCATCATGCATGCATTTATTTCTGTTGCTTCTGCAAAGTGCAGACACCAAACACTAGTAATCCACAAAAGGTATAGCGTTGTGGCCAACGACTACTTTGGCTTTACCTTACCTCATTTCAAAGGTTTTATAGCATAAACCATCTGTAAAATTAGAACTTAATAAGAGTAATTACTCAATATTTGTACTGCTTCACATGAGTTAACTTAAGCAAAGTTACAGTATTCACATGGTTTCAGAGAGTTCCTGTGAGAACTGCATAAAGAAAATAAATCTGCTCTGATTATAATGCAATTTCTAATATGATAGATTTAAAATACCATGGTTGAATAGAAGAGAAGCAGAAGGGAGGTAGAGGGAGGGCCCATGCCAAAAAACCCCACAACACTGATTTTGAGCATACCAGTTATGTAGATTATATTGTGTTATCCTTTCCTTTAATCCACACAGCTACATTAATCCTTATCAATTCATAGTATTATTTCTGGTTTTCTGATTGTGGATTATTAAGCAAATGGCCACTGTACATTCTGAACGCAGTTCAGAGAAAGATGATGGAATTTTTCAACTAATAAGACAACATTCCCACAGAAGAGATCCCTTCTCCAGCACTGTGGTGAAAAAAAAAAGACACAGCATTTGGTTTTCCCAAGGATTTGCCTTTATCCCCTCTCCAGGTAACATGCTTCAAATTCCAAGGAACTTCCAACTTCTCCAGTTCTGACATCACAGTTCATCATCTCATGGAAGTAAACACAAATTGCTGACACAAGTTAATACTGTGCTCTATACTGACTTTGGCAAAAATCCATCCTAATTTTTGACAGCAAGAGCAAGACAGGTTTTGGATGGGTTTTTTACCCAGTAGAGCTTCTCCTCTTTGCTACAGTACAGCTGTATATCCCATGAGCCTCGCCTGTTTTCACAGTTTAAGTAGCTCATGTTAAGAACAGCATGCTTTTCTCATTTTATCACATCCCCCAGATCCACATTTTCTATACAGCTCCAGATGACATGACTGGGGGCACACTATTATCATAATCACATTAAGAGACTTTGGAATTGTATGAGGCATAAAATCTCACAATCAGGCAGCAATGAAATCTGAGTCTGATGAATAGTCAGCTTGGCTGAAAGTACAAGGCACACAAATAAAACAAAGACTAAACAGCAAAGCAATGGAGTATGAGGCCTCTCAGTGAGAGCAGATTTAACTCTAAACAGGGATACAAACTTTCTGCTTCAGATTAATCCACCCATTCATGCTCTAATTAATTTAGTTCATTTTCCAGTAAGATTATCCAATTTGCCAGATATTGCACGAAAGTTGCCGGATAGGGCTTAGTCTTTTTGACAGTCCCAAGCCTCTGCTCTTCCTGACTGAAGTCTTTGACATGGAAATTTAAAAATCTGTTTTCCAGGAATTTTTTTGCCTGTAATTTATGGAGAGGAAAATGTCATAGCATTCGTAAGTACAGGATTTTTCTTGTAGTGTCAGAGGATGTTAGATTATTCATTGCACAAGCTGAGGAATGGAAAAGGATTGCCATTAGGGAGACACACACTTAAAGGTAAACATCTGTCTATGTCTAGTAGGAGCATGGAGGGAACCTTTCAGTCTTGCCACTGAAATTCAAATTGAGATTGGCCACAAGAAAGAATGCAACATCCAGTAACACCATTAATGGTTAAACACTTCCAGTTTGGCAGGGCACTGAAGCACTCACTGTCTGGAGCACCAAAAAGGTCTAAGCTTCTTTTTTGTCCACTCCTGTACCATTGCAAATACTTCCTAGAAGAATAAACTAATGAACATGGCTGACTTCTCAACAAGACAGACCTCCAGCTGGCAATTCACTATAAATACAAATAAATTAAAGGCACTGCATGATTCTATGTTTAATTACTCACTATTCCTGATTAAATGTAACAATGTAGAAGGGTAGCTGCATTTTATATGAAATTAAAACCAAACAAATCAAAACATCAACAAGAAAAAAAAAACAAAACAACAAACAACCCCCTGTACAAATCCACTAAAGTCTGACTTCACATGTTAGGTTTTCAGCCTGAAAAGACTTTCCATCATCTTTTTTCCTAGAGGCAAATTGTCCAACAAGCACAAGTAAAGGCTAAGGCAAACAATACTTTGACTCACAGTAACCACCTAACCAAGAAATCTAACTTAATTTAGTCAAAAAATCTGTTCAAGTGAGGAGGAAAGGAGCAAGGCTGTAAAGAGACTCTTTAATGTGACTCCGCCAGTTTAACTGCAAACAATAAAACCACACCTGCAGCACAAACTTGAATCTTTTGAAGTATAATCTTAGACTGTGCAACTGATACACCAAACAGCAGAGATATGATCCATCTCATAACAAAATTACCTTTTGCAAAAAAGTCATTAAATTCAAAATATGTTTATTGTAATATATGCTTACTTTAGTATCTGGCAGTAAATAATGTTGCATTAAATGCCTGCTACTCCATTGAGGACTGGGGCAAGGCATAGAGCTGTTACTAGGTTTCACACCTTGTTATGGAGGGTATTTATTCTGTTTAAAAGTTCAGTCACAGAAACTGAACTTTCAGTTTCTGAAACGGAGACAGAACTATGTGTATCGTGGAAATTTTCCCTTTGATTTCCATGGGTATTCACTCAAGCTGAGGAGTGACAGAGGCCACAGGTGTTTACTGTGGCATTTTCTCCTGACTTCAACCCTTATCTCACTACTTCCATTTGCCATGTCTTGTTTTTCTCTGTATAAACCCCAATAGCATCAAAGCACATGTCCCAGTGTCTTGCTAGTCTGTGGACACAAGGCAGAGCTTTTTGAGGAACTGAACCCCAAAATGATCAAGATAAAAAACAGAGAATTAAAAAAGATTAAAAAATATGGACTCCCAACTGCACTCATCTGGCTTTGAAGAACTTCTCCTTTGTAATTACTTTTCTCACAAATGTCAATGTCACAACAAATATATCAAGAGCAACAGATCCCAGCATAAGGACGCCAACTCTTTTACAGCACTGAAGATGCAGGTGTGTTCCAAACCATGCTAGTTTTCAAAGTACTGCCTTTTCCTGAATAAAAACTTGAAGTGACAAACAACTAAAACAAACTAAATAATTTAAACAAAAACATAAATATATTTTTTGAAGTCCAGCTTGTACTTCACTTGACTTTGTTATATTCTTCTGCTTAAGACTCCTCAAAGAATTGCAATTTATTCATTACTTATGTAAGTGGTCCTAATGATTTTAGTGGGACTACTCACAATGGAAAAAACCCTTATACATACATTTCAACAAAAATAAAGACATGGACTACCAATGGGAAAAAAGTTGAGCTGTAGAACAGACCTGGTTCTAGCATTTCAGGATGAGAGAGAAAAAAAACAAAGGGCACACCGTTTTTCAGTTGACACTGACACACATTTAATAAATACAGCCAGCTGTGAAGGATGTTCAAATCTGAACCTGAATAAGAAACATTTTCACCAAATTACTGCCTACATGATAGTATTTAACCATCAAAACTTAGCTGCTTTCAGTTTTTATGTAAAAGAACCATAACACAATTACATTATGTCATGATGAATTTAGCAAAAGTACCAGATGTGTCTGCATAGTGGAGCCACTTAAAGCTGTTCCCCTTCCTATTATCCTTTTACACAGTCAGACTACAGTGAAACTGCTGACAGTAACCAAGATACTGAAATGGAACTATTACCAAGAGGAGACAGATGCTTTCACAAGTTACCACTGTTCATGAGTGAGATTTTTTTTCAGCTCCTACTGAGTTTCTGACTGCAGGTTATTAACTGTGTCCGAAAGCTTTCAAACAGTCTTTTGTTCTTTAGAAAGCAAGTGTCTAACAAGGAAAGCACCATGAACAAATTAAAACCGGTACAAAAATACTGATCTGTCTGAAATGGGGCAGTCCAATAAGACTAAAGAGTATTAGTCCAGAAAGAAAATTTACTCCAGATTTACACAGGAGTAGTAGGTTAAGTAACTGAAAATTTTTCTGAAGAAACTTTTCACCTCATAATCCAAAATATTTTTAGTGTGTCTGGAACCAAAATGGTATAGGTAGGAATTTAAAGAGCCCTGTGTAGAAACAACATGGAGATATATTCACGTGCAAGACTTTTAAAACTCTCTTGACTAGCTGCCAAGTCCTGAAACTCAGATTACTTATTTTCCATCATAAATTACAATTTTAAAATGAAGCAGAATCACTCTGTACTTTCCATGGCAAACATTTTCATATGAATTTTGAGCACCTCAGCTTTCAGGCAGATTCCTGAATCACCAAAACGCATCACTGTACACTGGAACCAGACCCGTGGTAAACGGGTTTACTCTCCAACAAAGCTACCATCAGTTGTCTTCATTTCACTGAGACCGGGAACAAAGACTCTCACAAACTTCAGTGAGCTCATCACATTGAGGGCCGTAATTACCAACACCGTTAAGGTGGAGGCAACGACGTTGCCGATCAGCCTTTACCAGGAAAAGCCTGATTAGGCTGGAAGAAAAACGCTGGGGGCTGGTCGGGGAACAACACGAGGAGAAAGCTCTTGCGGAGCCGGCAGAACTTTACATCTCTGCGTTCTGCCAGCCAGACTTTCCCACGTGGGTCGCTGGCATAACAGAGCAGAGAGGAAGGTAGGAGCTGAAAGAACGGCGCTGGAAACCACCCCAGCCGGGAAGCAGGTGTTCGCAGGGCTCTCTTCACCCGCAGGCACGGGGGCGAGGGGTCAGCTACGCGGCCGCTCCCCAGCTGGGATTGCATCAGCGGCCCCGCCAGGAGGGCGCTCCCGCCCCGCAGGACGGCCGGCCCGGCTCGGCAGCGGCGGGGCCGGGCGCCCACAGCTCAGCCCGCCAGCCGCGGGCCCGCTCACACCACGGGGCTGGGGTGGGAGGGAGCGGGAGGCTCCGGACCTTACCTGGGGATGTACCTCGCCTCGTCCCCGAGCCGCACCTCGAAGTCCTTCCAGGGCTGTTCCAGCCCCGCGGCGACCCAAACCGCTGACGCCTCTTCCTCCTCCATGTCCTCGCCCCCCGGCTCGCTGCCAGCGGGCTGCGGCCGCGTGGCGCCGCGGAAGCCGCGGGCGAACTCCGGGAAGGTGATGGCCCCGTCGCGGTCGCTGTCGAGGCGCTGGAAGATGGCCTCGGCCTCGGCCGGCTGCACCCGCAGCTCGGCGCAGAGAGCAGCGAAGTCCTCCCGCTCGATGCGGCCCGAGCCGCTGGCGTCGCACGCCAGGAAGAGGGCGCGCAAGCGGGACAGCTCGTCCCCCGCCGCCTCGCGATCCATCGGCCAGCGCCGGGGGCGCGGAGACTCCGACCGCGGACCGAACGCGACGGGATCGGGTGGGCGGCTGCCCTACCTGCGGCTCAGCGGGGCGGGCCGGGTCCTGCTCCGCCCCGGCGCCCCGCGGGGCCGGGCAGGGCCGGGAGGCGGAACGCAGGTGACGGCTCCTGGCCAGGGCAGGGCGCGGGCAGGGCCGCCGGCACCCCCGGCGCAGCAGGGCGGTCCCGGGCCTGCAGCGGCCCCGCTGCCCCCCGGAGTGTAGGGACACGGGGCTGCCCTCGGGCCCAGCGTGTTGCGAACGGCACAGGTAACTACAGACAGCAACGTAGGGTATAAAAACTTGTCTCACAGCCCTGCAGCACCCAAATGTGAGTCCTAATGCTATGCGGACACCCTAAGGTGTTAAACCTAACTTCCGTTTTCCAACATACATTTCTTCACGTTCCTGAAAGACCCAGAAGCCACATGATGACACCAAGTTTGAACAGATAAATTCTCTCTGGCACGAATAGTCTTGGAGTTATACCTTGTGGGTATGTGCTCACAAATGTCTCACGACCAGTAATTTAGAAATGTAGACTGTTAAAACACCATCTTAAACTGGAAATGCAAAAGATGTATTCAAATCAATAAACCAGAGGAGACAGCTTTTCAGTGCTTTGTGAAGAACTAGTGTCTTTCTTGATAGAAGTCAAGATCTCTTTCTTGCTGAGGTCAGATTCAAGACTCAGATTCCAACTGAATCTAAGGGATATTTTAAAAATTATTATTTATTTCCCTACACTTATTCTTGTTAATGTCTATCTGCAAATGTAAATTTTGTTATACCACAGTTGTGATAAACAGACTACAAATCTAACAGTCAAAACAGCATTTCCCTGTTGACCAAAACATAGTCTAATTATGTGATCTAGCAAAGCATAAATGGCCCATCTTACCTCTCCTCAGAATGAAGCGCATACTGTAAATGGGAATAATCAAGTACTCCTTTGCCAAAGATGTGGAATGCCCTCAAAGGGATTTTTTTTTTTTTTACAGCTTTTGATTCGGCAGCCATCAGGATTAGGCAGACAGCCAACAGTCTTTATCTAGACAATAAAGAGCTTCATAAAATGTTCCCCACACTTTAAGGAAATATAGCTGTTAAGCAATTTGAAATATAAGTTTTAGCTTAAAAGTATGAGATAGCAGAAAGACTTTAGTTTATGATTTTACACATTTTATTACATTTCCACCACACAATTGCAAAACTACTAATAATAGTAAAGTGGCTCATCATCAGTTTCTTAGTGTTTTAGTAAGCCAGAATTAAGTTAACAAAAGTATTCTTCCTGTTCTATGGTCTTTTATTTATCCATCAAATTTTTATAACTCAAGTGTGTCATGGAGCCCTTAAGGGGTTGATGAAGGGTTGTTCAGCCATCAAAAGAGAGAAACTTCTCTTGTATATACAACCCAGCTCTGTTTATAGGAGCTGAGACTTTTGGCTTTCAGAGTGGACAAGCTCATGAGATGAGCTGGAGCAGCCTCATCCAGGTTAGAGTGTGTCTGACTGGCCAGACAGAGAGTTCCCACTCAATCAATGTGCTCACCTTATTTGCTTTTTGTACAACTTATTTGCCTTTTTTTTTTTTTTTTTTGGCTGCAGGGTTGTGAGTTGACATTGGTCAGCTATCCTACCCACTCTTTTACATATGCGTGTATCTTTAGTGATAGTCACTGCCTTGGACTGCTAAGCAGAGGGCGTAGACTTTGGACAGGTAGTCCCTGTTGCCTTTTTTTCCTTTTCTTTTTCTGCTAGAGATGTTTTGTCACACAAATCTCAGGTACTGGCATGAAGCACAGTGTATAATTTAGCAGTGCCATGGCATAGGTATATTCTGCAAAACAGATCATCCTTGCAATGGTTCATGCTTGCATGGTTCATGATACTACATGATGCTTGCTTGGCAGGCCATGGTTTAGTGGAATAGTTCTGACACAACTGCACTAAGATAATAAAAGGTTTATTTGTTAAGACCAAAGAATGGTCTTAATGGACCAAAGAGTGGTGAGACCAGGATTACCAGCAGGCAATGGCATGCTTTCTTCTGAAATCATGTCCCTGTTCTAAGAATGACCTGCTCTTCAAATCCACTCTAAATTAAATAAATATGCAAATACAAGGCACTCTTTATGTGGCATAGTACACTTAATCTCTTTAATTCATAAGAGAAGTTTTAAATTCATGCATAAGATACTGAAGATACACATATACCATGCATTCAATTTTCAGTCTATCATCTGTTTTGCTTCACTGTGCCATGAAACTCACAAGCTAGCCGAAGCATCTATTTGGCTGAAGAGGCAGAAGGGAAAATTAAATCATTCTTAGGAGCTTTAGAGAGACCGAAGGCAACCGATGAACAAGAAAGGATTCATTGTATCACTACTAAAGTGTCCTGTTTTACTGAGTGGAAAAAAAGTGGATTTTGACACTGTTATAGAGACAGAGATTAAATGTTACAGATTGCAAGAGACAGGTTAGTCAGAAAAGAAGGCTGGCCACACATGATATCTATTGTCCCAGGAAGCAAAAGAGCAGAGGAGCTGAGCTGACACTTCGATAAACTATGGAACCTTGGAATGCTATTTGAACACATGTGGTCTCTGAAGGTATTTATACAGAGCTATGCAGAAGCCCAAAAAAGCTGGAATGTTGTGCTCCAGTCAGATTCAATGCCTGAAACGGCAGCCCTCTTCTCATCCCTCTCTATATGTTGTCTTAGGAACCTTACATACATATTAAAGGAAGATTTTTAACTTGGAGCATCGAGCATTGAAAGTTAGGAAATAGAACATAAATTGGAGCAATTATTCACTGATTTACTTTTCATCATTATTGTTTGTGGACATGGGCATTATCTACAATGTCATCCATACTATTCTGGTCTTTTACTGAGGACAGAACGTATATTTTGGATAGTTTCTGCATACTTTAACTAAATTTCCCAGCATTAGGATTGGCTAAGAAAGAAAATTTATCCCTCTGTGGTTGCAATTACTCTCTTATTCACCTTTTTCTCTTTTACATTAGGACAATTTAAGCAGTTTAGTGTAAACTGTTCAATCTGCTTGGAAGACAGATGACATCAAGAGAGCATAAATAAAATAGAATCAACCAGTGATGTTGAAAACAGTTCATATCACACACAGGTACCATATTAACTACAACACCCTGAAAACTAATTATATAATCCTACTCCAATTTCTTCCCCCCCAACACAAATTTTACCATCTCTACAAGTCACTATAGATCTCAAAGCATCACAACCCCAGTGTGGCACTCCATCTGTACCCTTCGTACCTACTTGGCCAGGACCTCTTCCTCACCCTTACCACCAGGAAGGGAAGCACAGTGTGCAGAGGCACATGAAGGACAAGGGGAGTGGAGGGTGGTGGTGTGCAGAGCAGAGTCTGGGAGTTCTCCTGGAGATGGGCTGTGGTAGTGGTTCTTCCTACTGGTTTCCAGTTTCTGCCATTCTCCTACAGTGTCTCCCTTTGCGATGACATTTTTTTTTGTTTTGATGCATCAAACTGTGCTTTGATGGCATTAAACTAACTGTTTACCTGGTTCTATCCTGGCATGCACTTTATGTGAAACACATAGGATAGGTGCACACATTAAATGCCAAGTCTGACCAGATCATAGAACATTTCTGCATGCTCTCATTCCCTGCTGCATAATTTTTAGTACTACTGAATATGATACACCCTCAAAAAGGCATAATCCATGTCTTTAAAAACTCAGTCCAGGAAATTAAAAAATAATATTTTGAGAGAACACAATTTTGTGCTTTGACTTTGTCATAAAATTACACAAAAAGTGACAATAAAAGTTCTTTGTCTAAGAAGAGGTACATTTAAAAACCAAACATATCTGTCAGGATATACAGATAATTTTTTTATTCTCCTAAGCATTTATCAGTTCAGACAATGAAGTTGTAAAAGACCCTCGTGGTATTATAACTCTTTAACAAACTCCAGATGATGACTCCAGATCATGAAGTATAAATCTTTCAGGTGAAGAATCTTCAGCCTGGAAAAGACAAAAATTACCCTTGATGTTTAAATATCAAAGTACCCAAGGTGATTTAGCAGAAATTATTAAGTAGTGGCAGTCTTTTTAAAAGCTTGTCTGTATGATCAACTGAATATCCATGGAGATGCTGAAATGACTGATAATGACTGCTGGGCATAGTTTGGACATGTTAGCTGTCACCCTCATGCTTCTCTAATGCTCTCCAGCCCCCAAAAAATAACATTAAAAGACTGTTCTAAAGACGTTATTATATTGTCAATTCTCAAAATTTGTAGTGTTTATAATAATAAATACCTATGATTGCATCGTTTATGGGAAGCCTTACTTGATTTGGGTAGCCTACATAGGTTTTTTTTCAATTCTAATAGTCAAAACCAAATAATATCTACTGATGAAACTTCTTTGTAAAGAAATGGACGTCTCAAAATGCAATTCCCTATGTGCAAATCCTGTCAACAATGAGCACTGCTGAAACAGAAGTGTCCTTTTCAGGACAGAGATAAACAGGTCAAAAAGACATGTCTCCTTCCAGTTAGGATTAGCTTTGACCTTTTTCTGCAAAATTATGCCAAAGCTCCTTCAAAAACACAGTAAGGTCCAGGTTTCCCTTGCAAACACAATGGTCACTGTTTCACCCTCTACCTATCTCCCTTTCTTGCTCAATGTGTTGGAACATTTCCCCAGAAGCAGAAGATTCAAGTTTAAATCACTGTGTTGCCTGAAGGAAATTAAGATTACCTTTCTTTTTCCTCATGCAAGTGTCCTAACCACAAAGGTAAGTCAGAGGGTGATGGAATTGAGAAGCACACAGCTGCCCAAAGCCACTGTGCCAAGCATCTATGTTTTACAGGGCATTGTAAGTAGACAAAAATATACTTTAATGAAAATGCTAGATGACAAATTTCCATATGCCAGTTGATCTCTAATCCAGCTTTTATTTCTCTCTGTCTGGTCCAAAAAATCTTACATTATTTTCACAGATTCTGTCTAAATTGTATCTATGCAATTGCTTGACCAGCTGTAAGAGAATCTGAAAGATATTTGTTTACGCAGAGCAAAAAGTACTTAAATCTGTTCAGACAGAGAGGAAGACTGAATTCATCTCCAGTCTTGTGTGTAATGCCCTTACCTTCAGGTTTCTCCCTAAAGAAGATACACATACTCAGTACTTTCTACTTTATCCTAGGCAAAAGTAGCTGTCACTCTTTCACTTCATGAAACCTTCTGCTATTCATGTTAGGCAAACTCTGTGCACCATCAACAGGGTAGGCCTTAAAAGAATGAGGGAAGAATGTCTTACTTGTGGATCCCAAGAGGAATGTTTGCTGTGGAAATACTCAGTTGCCCACAGGGCCATTGGACATTCCTACAATTTGAGGCTTCTGGGCAATATTCCTGAGGAAAGCATCACTGGTATGATGTGGCATCACAATGCCCCATTGACAACAATTTTGGGAACAAGGTTTAACCCCAGCCAGC